ATAAAGATTAATTTAATTTAATTTAATTTAAGTATGATTTGGGTTAGATTGTAAAAAATTAAGTTAGATTTAAAATAAAATTAATTTATATATTTTTTTTAATTTTTTTACAAGAAAGAATACAAAGCCCCTTCCCCCCTCCCAAGGCGCAATGCCGAGAAAATTTCTTGCATAAATTAACAAAGAAAAATTAAGCACCCCTCAACAACAACAACAACAACACCGCCACCGCCACCGCCACCGCCACCCCCCACACAACCCACCCCGTAGCGGGGATCCCCACGTATCCTACCAAGATCGAGAATGACAGGAGGAGGCCATTTTTCAACGAAGGCATCCATTTGCTGCTAAGGGACGATTTTTTAAAAGGGGAATTTATGATGTGGTCCCTCCACGGCTCCGCCTATCAAATTTCAAATAAAGAAAGTAGCTAAACTTTATAGAATTAATTTTTTTTTTCTTTTTTCTCACTTCTCATTCCTGTCAAGAATTCTCATGTCTTGTACTTTGAGAATCAACCTGAAATTGAAAATAATTTGATTACCTACTCTTCTTCTTCATTAATTTTTAGTCATTTCATACCCTTTCATGTTTATTATGATGATGTCATTCACTTGAGCAATTGCGTGCTATTTGGCTAGGATATCAGACTCATATTTAACTTTAGAGATCTAGATTAGGCCTAATGATTTGCATTATATTAGAAGTGTAAGCTGCTTTTGGCCTTCTTTTTTTTTTTTTTTGCCGAGATGGGATTGTTAGGTACTTGGGAACAGTGTTTTAAGGCTTGGCCTGATCCGGTCTGATTCAATTGATTGGACTAGTTCAACCGAACTCAAGCTTGAAAACGAATTGGTTGTATGCCTTAGCTTGTTTTGAGAGTTAATCTGTCCAAACCCGTATGAGCCGCTTGACCTGCTCCAACTATCCAACCCGTTCAACCCACCAAGCTGAATCTATCATCTTTTTTATTCATTTTTTTAAAAAATTTGAAATTTACCCAATTTATCCCTTTTTTTTTATTGTGATTACATTAAAAAAAAAACACAAACTTATACTAAGATTAAATTTAAAAAAATCCTAATAGAAGGTCAAAAATGAAAAAGT